ATCATTTTGACCCCACGGGATGAGATCTTGCGTGGAGCCCCAGATCGAGGGAGATTATCAGTGGTCTTGTATGTCTTCCATTTTCTGATGATTGCTCCCACAGTTGATTTTTTCACACCAAGCTGCTTGCCTATTGTAGATTCACTCTTCCCAGTCTGGTGCAGGTCTACAATACTTTTCCTGGTGTCCTTCGAAAGCTCTTTGGTCTTGGCCATGGCAGAGTTTGGAGTCTGACTGTTTGAGGCTGTGGACAGGTGTCTTTTATACAGATGATGAGTTCAAACAGGTGCCATTCATACAGGTAACGAGTGGGGGACAGAAAAGCTTCTTACAGAAGACGTTACAGGTCTGTGAGAGCCAGAGATTTTCCTTGTTTGAGGTGACCAAATACTTATTTTCCACCCTGATTTACGAATAAATTCTTTACAAATCCTACCATGTGGATTCATGGATTTTTTTTTCACATTCTGTCTCTCACAGTTGAAGTGTACCTCTGGTGCAAATTACTGACCTCTGTCATCATTTTAAGTGGGGGAACTTACACAATCGGTGGCTGACTAAATACTTTTTTGCCCCACTGTAACAGTTGGCCAGAGAGCTAGGTGTTCTTGTTAGCAGCTGATACCTTTGAAATGAGTTTTCTGGCCTTCTGCAGGTATTTCTTCTTCTGTGTTCACATGACTTGCTGAACCAGAATTAGAATGACTACGTGTGATAGTTTTCTTTGATGCTAACTAAAAGCGCGCCCTTGAGGTAGTGTCTTGTTTAAGTATAGGATTCTGCATTCAGGTCATACTGAATAAATCTTATATGTGCAGACATGCATGGAAAACTCCTGACGGTTGACCTAATGTGGAGTCATAAAGAGTTTGATTTAAGCCTGTTGGTGTGACTGCATGGTTTAGCACCAGAGGTGGGGATCGCACAGTATATTACCGTAAGATACAATCATGATACCAGTTGTATCGTGAAACATTCTGCAATACTTAATATGTTGCAAGACAATCATCTATGATACAGGATCATATCTGTGTAAATCAGAAAGAACTAAAGAAAAAAAATACCCCCTAAAAAATATCAATCATTCACTTGTTTTTAGTTTCTAATAATTAGCTTTATTACTTTAATAAAGTGTCCGTTTATTTGAGTAGCTATATGATTTGCTTTCCTCTTCTGTTATTTCTCCTAAGTTTCTTTTCATTCGATAAGCGGCATCATGAAGAGTCACGAAGGACTCCAGTGTGTCAAACGACTGAGCAAAATCCAGTTACAGCGCCTGCATATGTAATTTTAAAAAAAATGCTGATATTTGTGGCGTTCAAAACGGGCAAAAATCTCAGCTTTGCAGTGCTTCTAAAGTAACTAATGTTGGATCACTAAATAAACTACAAATAGTAGCCCGATGTGTGCACGTTCTGTGTGACAGATCTCACTATTCATTAGGCGGTCCAACATGCTGGCTCACAAAGCAGCGCACTTAAAAAGAAATAAATCATCCATTACACACGGTAGCTTCTTTCAAACTAGTTCATCTTTGTTTAGCGTTCTTTCATCAGGCATAGTTTGCACAATACTGTACTATACCCCATGGAGGTTTGGTGGCAAAGTGCACAAGAGATTATATTATGCATAGATATAAAGGAAAATAAATAGGACTTATCACATCAAAAATGTAATATTATTGTTTCAAATACTGGTAAATATATTTGTGACCCTTACAGATGTGACTTTTTTTTTTTGCCTCTTTAAAGAGAGCCCCCACCTAACTCGAACCCAGGACATTTGGTTCCAGTGAATCTTTGACTTGTAAGAGAAAGCAATTTGATTTGTTGCTTGATGTGTAAATGCAGCAGAAAACCGAAAAGCAGCAGCTCTTATCCACGAAACCTAAATAGACTGATTTGTGAAATCGGTGGAGTACCATGCAGTAATGAACCAAAAGGCCTCCGGTTGTTCAGGATGTTGGCAGGCTTCATAAAAACCTCATCTGTTCCTTTTACCCTTTAAGATTACTGCAGAAGTACCCAGATAAAGAATAGAGCACTTCTCTGTGATGGTTACTAGTAGAACAGTAAGTATCCTTTGGAGTTTGAATAGAAATGTTTTGTTTTTATACAGCATTGCACATTGTACTTGTAACATAGGAATTATATCAAAAGCAAAATATTATGAGCAACAATAAATAATGTATTGGTTACAAAAAACAAAGCTGGGTGTGATGTTTGTTTTAAAAGACAGGTCATGCTATAGCTACAGTTTGTGCTGTCGTTGCATCAAAGACTGCTCAACAAGAAATAAATGACTTTTCAATCTCTTTGAGCATGTCCAAAGTGTGCCCGTGTTAATTTATGACAAATTCACTTGCTCGCCTCTGTACACCACAGTGCATTTTATATCATAATGTAGTATAGACTCGAGGGGTTTAACAAAAGTATTGACCTCAACATCAAGGTGAAGACATTTTGCAAATGTGATAATTCAAGAAGGATGTCACCTAGCATTTTGAAACAGATACCATAGGTACTTCTACTTGGGAGGCTGAGGGGAAGCACTGACCGGTATTTTCATGCAGTCTTTTATTTCAGTGCATGGGAAGAAGACCATCAACGGGCTGAAAGAAAACAAAACTAAAAAAAGAAGAATGGGCACAAAGTTTAGCAGTCGTCAAATCAAATCAAATATTTGGTCAAGAAAAAAAAAAAAAAAAAAAATTGTCTTGAAAGAAAGAAAATTGGGCATTTAAGGCCTAAAATCAAGAGATCGCATTAAGGTGCAAAGCATTTGTTATACTCAAAAACAGCAAGGCCAGATTAGATTTAGCCAGAAAACTTCTAAAAGAGCAAACACTTTTGGATGGGAAAAAAAAAAAAAAAAAAGTCTGAAATGAAACCAACTTGCACCAGAATGATGGGAAGAGAAACAGGTGGAGACAGTGTTATGGCAATGACATGAATGGCTCCCAGTGGAACCGGGTCACCAGCGGTTATTAATAATGTGACTGCTGACAGAAGTAGCAGGATGAATTCTGTAGCATACAGGGCTCCACTCTTTGCTCAGAACACAGCACGGTATACTTTGTGCAATGACTCAAAAGTAAAAAGACCCACAAACATGGGTCAACTGAAGGTGGCTGTAATAAAGGCCTCTCAAGGCATGACACATTATTTGGTAATGCCCATGGGTTCTAGACTTCAGGCAGAAGTCCCCCCCCCGATCCACCCCTTTTCCCTTTGATTGCCTTGTATTTTAAAAAAAGTCTCAATCCCCATGAGATGGTACCAAAAAGGAAAAAGAAGAACAAAAGGACTGTTTAAGCATTTCACATCTTTTATTTCTGCATTTCATTTCTTCAACAATTTAATTGCACCCAGATCTACAATATTTCGAAAACGTGCACAAAAACGTGAGTTTCTTCATCCTGCAAAGAATAATAAAAAATAAAATCTGACCCAGGCAAAAAAGATAGCAGGAAACTAGTGTTAATTCTATAATTCTCCTTCTAATTAATCATAATTTAATACCTCAGCATAATATACTTAAAGACCAATATGTCTTGTAGTTTTGCCCCTTGCAGCATTCCCCCTCCCTGCAGTTAAAAAAAATATTTCTCTATTTAAAACAAACATTTCAATGTTATTATCATCACCACCATGGTCTTAGTAATTTAAGAGAAAAGAATATATTTTCCTCTTATTTAATCCCACTCCTCATAACCAAAGCCCACCCACCCTTATCAGAATCCAATACACAACAATGCTCAAAATCCCAGGGTCTGCACTACGAAGCAGGTTCAGCATACCTACGATGCCTTCTTACTGTCCGACTATAACAGACATCATGCCACGATATCAATGTGGTAAGTCAAAGCTTTTTCTGAATATAGCAATGAGCCACAAAATTCTTAACTATAATCCCCAAACAAATATGTGAGTTTCTGCAGCCAAAGCCGGTAAAAGCTTTGTGTAAATGAGTAAGATAGGCTCATTAATATCACTGCCCTATCATTAAGGCACGAGTAGATCTATCATTACAAATGTTTATTCCAATAAACTGATGTGTTCCTCAGACGTCATCTTATGGCAAATGAGACATTTTAGCATTTTTGTTTCAAGCTGCAAACCTGGTGGCATCAACAAGCCTTGGAAGCATGTAAAGCACAAACAGAAAAACATAATTCAAACCTGTATGTGCGCTGTACTCGTCAATAAAAGGCTACTGAGGTTAGACCGTCTCAGAACACCCCTTACCTCATAAGATCCAGTCTACCCAAAGGTATCTTCTAAAACCAGTTAATTACTCAAAACAGATTGACCAGTTGATGCTTTTATATATGCTGATCTGTTACCTCATGCATGTGTGTGGTCCAAGTTATCACTGCAATGTGTCCCATTAAGGAACTGAACTACTGTGTAACCTTCAGATCCCAAGATTACCTGGCGTTATGACGCTAACCACAAATCCCGCTTCGTAGTGCAGGCCTCTGGTTCAAGAAATAAAACGGATGGAAATACAGGAATGACACAAAATAATTACTCAGCAAATTAGAGGTGAGACATGATGTAGCTTAAAAAATTCTCATCTGAACCCGCACTAGACAAGGGGTAAATTACCTTCGGACTAAAAGGTTTTCCCTGCATACACCTTCAGCTGAAGATCACTTAGACCCAGTGAGACCCGTTAAACCCACAATGCCTCATTCAGGAAGTACAGCCTCAAACAGAAGATGGCAAATACCAACAAATTCTACTCATTCGAGGAGCTGTGTATTAAATAAAAATAAATAGATATTTAAAAGGAAGGGAAAGAACAGTCCATCTATTATGTTATTGTGTGTTTTTTTTCTTCATTTTTTACATTTTCTAAGAAAAATCTGACATAAGAAAAACATTATTTATGCCTTTTCAGATTTTTCTAAAATTTTACCTACAGTATATCAAGAAGATCATACAGATATACAGCAAAATAAGAGGGAAAAATACAACAGAAGGAGTCCTTAAAAACTATATGCAAAGGGAATTTAAAAACATAATAAATAAATAAAATACCAATATCATGATAATGGTGTAATTACAACTGAGTAGGTGTCTAACCAAAGCAGAGGAGAAAACAGTGAGTTTATAGTACTTGGTTTTTGCATTAAGTTCAATAAGGGACCTCTTGGTAAAAAGTAGGGGGAGGGGTTACGTTAGGTGCTGATGAAGATCTCCATGTCAGTTGGCTGCGAGTCCAGTAGCTTCAGATGACAGCCTGAGCAGAAAACAGAAAAATCCAACACTGTTTAAAACAAACAAGTTAGATTATCAGTAACACATGTTGCTGTATCTGAAAACTAATAAAAAAAAAAAAGTCTCAGACTTGTGGACAATCTGAGTGAGTGAAGATGGACGATTTCTGCTATCGTTTTACAGAAGGTCTTTTGACTGGCAGTTTGAGTTAAGCAGGATGAGATTTTTCCACAGAATACACTTGATTATCAAACTGCCCATCTATCAGGAAATCAACACCTGCTTCCAGCAAACTGATGTGCTATATGCCCTGATAATGAACTGTGTGACCCCACTTCTTACTTTAAAAAAAAAATCACCCTGCATCTGTACAGCAGGCTTAGCTGCAGAATTCAAATACACTGCTGCTGAAGAATTGGGGGTGCTAAAAATGATTTTAGTTTACCAATTACAGCAGGATAATTGGACCGTTATTGGCTGATAAACTGAGGTAAACTATGTTATGTCACAATGTTCTTTGAAAACATAATAAACAGGAGCCACACTGGCTGCAAATAAAATGTTGGTCAGGCAAAAGCGAATCCATCAATAACTGTGTGGTAGTGATGGCAGTGATCAACCCAACTCTGCTACAGATTTTGTTTGTTTGTACATTTTAGACTACATACACTTAGATCTCATTGGTTTGTGCACATAATGGACAAACAGCTGTTCGAATGGTAAAATCCGGTGTTTTTGGCCCATTCTGTCAGCCCTAGATTCTAGTGGGACAGTGTCACAGCTGGAAGAGGGGGTAATGAAATTATTACGAGAGCTGTAGTAATGAAGTGACTGTTAAAAACTGCCAGTAGTCCAATTCTAATAAATCTTCGGTAACCTAATTAGAAGCGCTCCTCGTCTTTCCCCTTATGTGAGGAATCCATTGCTTCTGATTGATACTAGTTGGTCAAGTGGACAAATGGTAGGAAAACTCAATCTCCATTAATGTGTTTCAAAACTGACCAGCTGCACAATGTCAGAATTTAAAAACAGACAGCGAGAGAGCGCCATCTTCTTTCCATTTTGCTCTAGCCTGTGGCTATTTTCTTACCGGGCATTGATCAGGTACTCAGCCAGGCTGATACTGGCGTGGGAGCCAGTAATGGTGACCTGTCTGTCAGTTGAGCCCTCCACAGGGTTGGCAATCTTGATCTGAGCCCCTGACATCTGACGGATCTCATTGATCTTTGCGCCCTGACGGCCGATGATACAGCCAATGAGCTGGGGAAGAAGAATTACGTGACACTATGTCAATACTTTCACTGCAATAAAATTAATAAAAATAAAAGGTTGCCAATTCAAACAAAATGAGCTACTCAGAAAATCAGCAAGTTTCTCTGTTAAGAAAAAAAAATTAAAGTCACATTAATTTTGACTTACATCGTTTGGAATGGTCAGCTCATGAGAGCCAGTTTGTGCAGAGGCATCCATCCCAGCTGAAAGAACACAAGAGTGAGTTGATTGCATGGATTAACAGAAACAGACAGCAATCAAATTCCTCCTCACAGGAAGTACACCTACCCTGGAAGCCCTGGTTGCTGTGTGCAATGGGGAAGGGGCTCTGCTGCATGGCCAGCTGGTGAAGTTTGGTGAGCTGTTGAAACAAAAAAAGAAAGATACGTAGAGCACAGACAGACAAGGATGTGTTAAGAAACACTGAAAATAAACTTTAAGACTGAAATGTTCTTTCCCTTGTTTAAGTGGTGGTTGTGATAATGAGTGGAAATCATGAAATTGTGAAATGAAAAATGGGATCAATGATTTTGCTTTAAGATATTTATGTTAGGATTTGAATCTATAATCTTTGGAACTGTTAAATGGATGTGCATCTCAAGCAGTGGTGGCTGTGGGAAGGGCAGCAGGAAAAAAAAAAAAAAAAAAAAGTCAAGAGGGATGAAATAAAAAGGTGGTATGGCTTCCCCGGACCGAAGTTGCAAATATATTGGATCACTTACAGAGGGCCCCTCACTTACATCAGGCTGTGGAATGGCGTGCTGCCCTTGGACAGCGTAAGCCTGCAAGGAGAGAATAGCACTTAGGAGGGTGTGGCAGTGTGACATGGTGCACTCCAATATCCATCAGTCCTCTGTTCTTGCTACAAGGAGCAATGCCAGGCATGCTACTAGAATAGCATTTCCATAACTAAACTCTGTTAAAATAAAAAAGTGTTTAAAAAAAGAAGAAGAAAAAAAAAAAAGTACTTTTATTACTTTACCTGACCACCTGCAAAGATGACAGGAGACCCTGAGGGTTTGGGTCTGTATGGGATGGTCACTCCTTTTGGTGGAGACTAGAAAAACAGAAATATTCACCTTTAACTATCAATAACTACGTAAAGTATCAGTGTCCAGAGCCCATTTACAAAATCATAAAAATCAGGATTACATTAAACAATGTTTGTACCTCAAGCATGACAATGCAGATCTGCTTGACACACTCAATAATGGACTGTGGAGTCCCTGCAACGGTGATGGCACGTTCTGTTGAGTTGGGTAACATGTCCCCTGCTACTTGTACCTGAGCTCCTGCAGACTACAAAGTCACAGCAAGAATTACAACACCGATCAGGGGAAAACGACAACAAACAAAACCCACAACAGGATCTGAAATTCATACAAGACTAAAATACAGCAGACAAACCTCTCTGATTTCTTTGATCTTGCAGCCACCTTTACCAATGAGTGAGCCGCACTGGCTGGCGGGTACAACGAGGCGCATGGTGACTGGTGGTTTGCTGGTGGCCGTACTGTTAGTCATCGAAGTGCTGATGTCCTGTAGGGGAAGCGGATACAACAGGAGGCTTTAGAAAGTGGCACTTGTATAGCCGCTACGTCTTTAACGTAAGATACAACAAACAATTCTAACCTCCTCCAGTTTCTCTATAATCATGGAAAAGGCTTTAAAGATAGAGGTGGTAGGTCCCGCGAGAGTTATGATCCTCTCTGGGCAGTTCCCCTCTGAGATGTTGATACGTGCACCACTCTGCAAAGAGACAGGGAAAAAAAAATAAAAAATTGAATCAGTTGCTTTGTTGTCATATGATGCATGAGTCACAGTAAATGTTGACATGTTCTTTCCTGATTGTTGGAAAAAGACAGACTTACCTCCTCTCTCATCTTTTTAACAGACTCTCCTTTCTGTAGATAAAGAATACAAAACAATATTTACAAAACACACCAAGGGACATGCCACAGTTAGCATCGTTCTGGCAGTAAAACCAGCTTACCTTGCCAATAATGCTTCCAACCTCCTACAGAAGATGACAACAAAAGTTTGTGTTAAAACAATACTTTGCGGTTTTCTTTTTTTTTACTACAGCTAGATTAATTTTAAGGAATGAATGCAGACTTTAAGCTCCTTATAGAATCTAAACCTTATATCAGTGCTGGAATGTTGGGGTTTTTGCACACCTGAATCACATGCAAGCCTTTACAGCCATATAAATAGTTACAATAATCCCAAAAACCTGTGCTGACCTACTTTTTCACCCAACACACCAAAAACTGATCTGCAATCAATAAGGGGTTTGATAACAGCTTTTGATATCTTTTCAGTCTATCCATAGTTGCATGCAGTCACACTCACCTTCCCATGCATGAGAAGCCTGATGGTTAAGGTGACATTAAGTCCTCCTTCAACCAAACTGGAGTCCATTGCTGCAGCTGAATCCAACACACACTCGCACGCGCTCTCAACACTGGCCAACAAAGTGAGTCTTTGGTCACTGGCTGAACGTCTGCAACAGAGTGGAAAAATTAACAGTCAGAGACAAGCGTAGTTGGTGGAAAGTGTGAGGCCATCTGCTGTCAATGCAAATCAGTGAAGTGATGCGGGCAGTGCACATCTTGTAGACTTTAACGCCGTTTTCCAGCCACGTCGAAAGAAAGACGTTTCAGTTCGGTAATTGACATTAGACTGGCCCGAGTCCACTCATTCACTGTGCACAATGACCCACTGTCTCTCGGCGGTCGTGTCTATTTTCTGGCATTCTACAGCGGTGGCGACATCTCTTTAACTCTTGTAGTCAACACAAGCTGCTCAAAACAGTCATTTAAAAATCACCGTAGCTTTAAATAAACTTCACAACCAAGCTAGCAAGAGAAAGCTAACAGCGTGACGTTATGGCATCAAATCCTGTTTGAAATGAGCATCCCAGCTAGTCACGCAAACGAGGGTAAGAGGAAGTTAGCTGCACCAAAACATTTTTCCACTCAAAACACTCGCTTTTAGCTACATGTACAGATTGAGTGCTAACAGATTTAACCATTCTATCTTAAAAAATATATAGCATTTCGAAGCTAACTCCTGCTCCACCATCAAGCTAAAAATACAAATCAGTGATTTTCCATCCAGCACGCTAGCGTTAGCATTCAGCAACTAGTCGGATCCCGCGGCCTACGAACCGCACCGAGTTATCCCTGTCCTTCACTCCTAGGGGAAAAACACACATATACACAAAGCTGGAAGACTTACCGGAACCGTCCCTGGAAGTGTGTTCAGGGGGTGGGTAGGGTGGCAAGGGTAGAAGGGGAGAGGTTCGGGAGGGAGTTTTAAAAGGATCTGGGGAAGAGGGAAGCGACGCCGCTTTTCGATCGGACTCCACTCTCCTCCTCTGCTTCGCACAAAAGACAAAACGCGTTCAACTCTGACCCCTTTAATGCCCCGCCCCCTCAACTAGGTCAGCCCCGCCCATTGACGTGATATTCACTCCGTGCAGTACAAAACAAAAATATAACTAAATAAAACGAAAAAAGCAAAAAATTATTTTATACTACATATTTTCCCAAACGCAACAAATACCATTTATTTATTTATTTATTTGTATACATTCACAATGTGTACATTTCTCATTCACAAATAAGTTCATATTGTTTCTGCCAAAATATCTATAAATTAATAACCAAAAGCAAAAATAATACTGAAAAAAAACCCATAAATAAAAACTAAAAACTGTAGTAGTAGAAGATACTGGTAATATCTTTGCTAACATGGTAATTACTGGTAATTTATTTATCCCATATTTGGTAATTTCCCTTGTCACAGAGGTTGAAATACTACTAGTCCTACTAAATGTAATAATGACAACAATATAGGATTCATTTTCTCCTTCCTCTTTGCTTCGTCTCTCCCTTTAGTGAGATCGCCACAGTGGATCATCTCCTGCAACCTTATCCTTATCCCTATCCCTAACATCCTCCTCTGTCACACCAACTGTCAAATGAAACCAAATTAACCAGGTAATTTACATTTACCACATACTTATTTGCAATCCCTGGTTGTCATTCTTAGTAAGGAATTTGACCACTACTGTACTTGTTGAAACTTCGTCAGAATGCTGTAGGACTGGTTCTCAAAGTCTCTCTTCTGAAGGTGTGAACAACATTCTTCCACAAAATAATTTAGTGTTTGGGATTTTGATGATCAAGGCAGAGAGCTATGGGAGATCCAAAATCTCCAGCAGGGATTCAGCTGGACTGAGAAATTGTGAGTTTGAAGGCCACATCACATAATTACATGGTTTTTTATCTTTATTGATCTGCGCAGTGATATAAATGGCAAATATTTCCTTTACAGAAGAGGTTACTGTGGCATGTTTACATCGCAGCTCATTTTCATCAAATCTGATGAAAAAAAAAAAAACAAACCAGAGGAAAAGGTGATGTCTAACCCAGGGGTGGGCAACTCCAGGCCTCGAGGGCCGGTGTCCCTGCAGGTTTTAGATGTGTCCTTGAACCAACACAGCTGATTTAAATGTCTTTTTGTCAGCACCACCATTTCCAGCGATACAGTACCATCCTGTAAACTCTTGCTGCTATCATCCCTGAATCTTGTCTTCACCGGCTCCACCCGCTCTCTTCTGCACCTCTCTTGTGCACTGTGCATTGTTTTGGACAGAAGACCCCAGATATTTAAACTCATCGACCTACTATCTAACCTGCACCTGTCTCCCTCTCATTCACATAAATATTTTCTGTATTGTGTCTGCTGGCCTTCATTTGTCTTTATTGGCTCAGTTGAGGCAGATGTTGTCAACACCTGGCCAGTGCAAACTAACTGTAATGTGTGTATTCTAAATAGTGACTTATGGAGACAGACCCACGGGAGGTTTTGAAAGACTCTTCGCAGTTGTCTGTAAATCCAACAGATGGCACAATAACACTGTGAACGTAGCTGGTGGCCGTTCTCTTCAAAGTCCTGCATCCATTCTGCCATTGCTCAAAAAATACTCATTCATAGCTCGATGAGTTGACCGAGGTGTCGTGACTGTACCACCTAAAAACGAGAAGCACTAAAATTAGCCATGTGAAAAAGGCATTTTGCCCAGTTAGAGATATAAAATGAGCAAAATTCCTTTGCGAAATGAGTCAGCACTCTAAATTTAAAAGAGGAGCTAGAAACTGCATGTTTTAGTTGCTGAATTATAAACATATCAACTAATAATTTATATTACTGCAGTGAATGTCTCACTACTTGACTCCAGCTGCAGTATTTCTATAAATTTCTTATTATGAAGAGAAGACTGCTAATAAATAGTGTGATTTGTATTTGCTGTGACAGATCATTAAGTGTCTTTAACAATCTGGGAATATATATGTATTCTTCGGCGTATCAGTCTGGTGTTTATACATATCTATCCTTTTACCTCTGATGATGTTTGAAAACCTGTCACAGTGGATTTGGCTGATACACCGCATATTTTCTTTTTCTGTTGTCATGCATACATAAGCAGAACAAATAAAAACCAAAACGTCATGAAATGTGAAGACTTGAAAGCCTGACCTCTTGACCTGAAAATAATGAACCCCAGTCATTCATATATATTTTTTTCTATACGCAGAATATGATTGATGACTTTCTGCTTCACGATGGATTGCCTTGTTTTCTGCAAGTCTGTTATTTGGTTGAGATGATTGATGGGATAAACAAGCATCTTAATTGTCTGCTAGTGTTTGTTTTGAATTAAAAAGAATACAATCAAAGGCACTGCTGTACAGTTAAATCCTCGCAGTTGTGATTCTTATTAAAGCAGAGTGCTATATATGGCCGGAAAGCAAAAGAGATAGATACAATGGAACAGTATAACCCTATAACCATGTGTTCATGGTCTGGTTGACAGAGTATTCTGCCTGAACTCACTCACCACATGTTCATTAATCTGGTGCACATCAGAGCACCCACAATACAATTAGTCAATGGACAGAATAGCTCGCTATTGTCTGTAACCAACTTTCTATTCTCCTCATTTGTAAATCTTTAATAAATCCAATTCTTTGATGTCCCACACAGTGTGGCTTACACCTTTGTGTTTACGTGCATGAGTCATGAATCATGTCTGGCTCAGTTTATTAGGTTCAAAATCGCTCTGCTGTCGATAGATTGCCCCCACGCTCGATGCAGTGGAGCTCTGCTACTCTAAAAAACAGTTTGTCTCAACGTTTCCTGTTTTTTTTTAATTTCAAAAATGAATCCAGGCAGTAGATGTTTGCTCTCGCTTTAAGAAGCCATCTGTAGTGCTGTCTGAATGGTGGCAGGCTTACAAGGCTGGTGGTGTTTTTAAATTAGAACCATGGCTGACCAGATTTACTCCTATCCAGAGATTACGACACGCTGGCTGTGAGTTAAACATCTGATGTAGGCAATAACCCCTGCAGAACACATTAACACTGTTTGGCTTTTCCTAAAGGGAAGGTAAAGGGTAACTTAAAAACCCATTAAGTGAAAGACATAAAACAACTGTTTTTGTGTGAGGACAAAAATGTGTTTAATTAGTGTAAAAATGCCTGTCTCTTTGATCTGAAGCACAATCACTGAGAGCCGGATTATACAGAGGAGAGGAGGTGCGAGCTCTTCAGCCTTTCCAATCAGCACATGGTCTCCCTGGCCTTTCATGTGTGTCTCCCCCGTCGAACAATTGCTTACATAATCATCTGCTTACTTTAATCTCTGCATCTTTCCCACAGTTTGTGCTCTTTTATACTTCTCTCACTTTTCTCTGTGGTACCCCCATCAAATTCAGTGCATCCTCCCATTGTACACAGTGTGTCTCCTTCAGTGCTTTTATCTGACATGCCCACTGGCACTCTCACTCTCTTGTCCCTCTTCCCTCCACTGGTGAGTGTTCATTGATTATTGTACATGAATTGTATGATGAAATGCCACTCGCCCACCCGGCATCCTCTCGTCAGTGGCCCCTGACATCCCACTGCCTGCGAGCGATCCAGACTATCTTTGCCTTTGTGTTTAATGATCTGAATGTTAGATTACCTTTCTCTGATATTCATACCTGGATTAATCTTTTTTAAAATGGCGTGTGTTTTAGTGGTGTGGCATATGTCAGTAGTACGCTTTCGACTTTTAGCAACTGCAAATATGGAATGCCAGTGCAATCTTTTACGGTGGAAAGTGATCGTTTACAGCGATAAAAAGGGAGACTAAATCCAATTTATTCTCTTCAGCTGTAAATTGTCTGCACATATTAAAGCAAATTATCTGGATTACAGTGTGAAACCTGATGACACACTCGAAGCCAGAGAGGCGAGTATCCAATTAGTCACCTAATTAGCAAGTGAATGTTGTTGTTATAAAAATTAAAGGTCTTGAAAAGAGAAGGAAAACAAAAACAGCGGAGACAAACCTGGCGTCTTTTGAATATGATACCATGATTTAACTGATAAAGCGAGGACACCTGTCTTTCCATTTTTGATTTGTGACATCTGACGCACACGGTGTGACTGTGTGATCAAGGCATTCATTTTTTGACAGAGCCGTAGGCGCGTTGTACAGATCTGTTAACTCACTAAACTGGAGATGCGGGGTTGCACAGTGGGGCTGAATTCTCTCTGCAGGGGTGTGAACGGATCCAAAAGCCTGAGCTTGTATGGTGACTGCAACGTCACTACCTTTCCACAGCCAAAGTTAGATGGCCCTGCAGGGTCACAGCAAGAGGTGACATGTGACCGTGTAAACTGTCCAGTCAGGAAACAGAAAGGATGTAGAACAGCTGTGACTTCCCACTTTTATTTTAAGACAATCTTCCGCAAATAGGTTGCCCCTGCTGAGACAAATAATTGGCGTGATATCTTGGGGGCACGAGCATGAGGAGCAGTCTGCATTTTAATGCCAGTCCTCCACAGGAAGAGCCCAGCTATGCATGCCACTGGGCATGATCTGTGGACTCTGTACATTCAGGGAAACGCATACTGTACTATTGAAACTTAAGACAGACTATGGCTTTTAGGTGAGTAGAACAAAGAAAAAAAGAAAAGAATGACAAACAAATTTTTATGTGGTGAAATGTTTGTTGTTCTACTTTAAATGCATTTAAAATTAAATAAACAAAATGTGCAGATCAGTTAAAGATATTGTATTTTACTTCTTTATGCTTCTCCAGTTCATTTGTATCTTTTTGAGCATTAAGAGTACAGTTGTCTATGATGTCCCAGTTAATATAAAACTCTGATGGCTGCTAAAAACATAGATCTTACGCATGGACATCAGCTACCTTTGTTTTATTAGTAATGGGATTCAGACCTGTGGACTCCACTATAAAAGCTTTGCATGATTCAATTCAATTCAATTCAATTCAATTCAATTCAATTCAATTCAATTCAATTCAATTCAATTCAATTCAATTCAATTCAATT